GATTCCGGATCGACTTCAACTGCCGTCAAGTTGGCCATTCTGGACCGAGTGACAATTTGTTATCAAGTTATCATACTCGTATTGTTAATATTAGTATTATTTATATTTTCTGGGCGCCCGCTTAATTATTTGTACATATTATGTTCAATTATTTTGTAGTTTTCAATACATTTATTTCGCGCAAAGCGCTATTACAATTTATCGTGTAATATATATATATATATATATATATATGAAGGTCACCTCACTCCTAAAACCGACACGCGAGTCGGACTAGTCAACCGCCATAATCGTAGGAACTACTCCAGCGCAAATAGTTTTTATAAGAAATAGTATATTTTATACCTACGCTGTAAAAGATAATTATTAAACGCATTCAGGATGGATTTTCGAAATTTGATTATTATTTAAATACAGACGAGTATAACCTGATCCTAAAATGTGTTCACTGAAATGGTTATAGATAAATAGATTATATGATAATTGATTAAATGTATGGTGTGGTTTGAGTAACAAGATATTTTTTTAACCATTTGATTTAAACATGTATAACAGGTTCTCCGTTTTATTGCATCTTTATCTAGGTAACAAAAATATATTGTTGCTGCAGTTAGCTGGAGGCATATACTAGTCTGGTACCTGTATTATTTAGAATAATTTTTTATTATAGAGCATATAATACGGCAATAGGTGATTCGTTGTTCGTTCCAGCCGTACTATCAAAAACGTAAATATGTGCCCGTTAAATAAAATAAATTAATGTTGTACTTTTATTAAATTAATTAGTTAGATTTTTAGAAGAACAATAATTTAAAATTTGACGTAACCGTTTAACCGTTAAAATATAGTACATATCTTCAATTGTATTGTTATATAAAAAAAATATATCGATTATGACAAGGCTTTCTAATAATGTAAAATTAATACTATTTGTTCAAATCGTGTACAAAAGACATTACAATATAAACATAAATAACTACTACAATACAACTAGATACTTAAATATAGGGCTGGATAAGGGGGGAGAAGCTTTGAAGGGGCTATAGCCCCGAGCCACAAGTTGAAAGGGGCCACAATAAGCTGCCAATTTTTTTTTTCATATAAAATGGAATCAAATAAATATGTTAAAAAATAAAATGTTATTATAATTTTCTACAATTCACAAATAAACTAAACTTATTTTAATTAATATTTATTACAAATTACTAAATATGAAAAAAAAAATGGAATTTTTGTTTGTAAAAAAGACTTACTAAAAGTAATAGCCCCCTTATATTATGACCATAATCCAGCTCTGTTTAAATGCAAAGAAAATGATGTGTTATCCCATTATATTTTGTAGATGTTATATTACACAGAATGTTTATAAAAAGTAATAGTGAAATTAATTAGTATAATCCAAGTATATTGTATTAGTATTGTTAAAATGTATAGTCTTATTATCATCATAGTTTCTTATAACATTTATAAAGTTGAACGCACACTTAAAAATAAATATGGTATAACATAAGGTATAAGTAAAATTATTGAAAAAAATATCACCTTCCCACCAGATCTCTTTCAAAAACAGCTTTGCTCCCTCATCTCCTTAAATATAATTTTATAACCTTGTTGATACAGTATCGGCTCAGCAGTTATATAGTGTACAATCGCGTTTTCAGTCTTACGCTTATCGCAGTGTACTTTATATATATAGATTGTTATAGCCGCTTTTTATTATGTCGTCGTCTTCAGGCAGCGATTTACATACAAGTAAAAAAGTAACCTTCAAAATTTAAAACTCACTTAACTTCTCATCGCAGTTCAGATTCTAACTTTTAGGTGGTTACCAGTAACAAAAATTCACGAAGCTGAATAATTCAAATAATGCTACGTCTAGTCCTACTTCAACATATTATTGACAATACTCTACTTTAAGCTACATCGAATTCAGCCTTCAATTATGATAAACCTTTACCTGTAATTACTACGCCGTCAGAAATGGTTGTTGACGATTCTACAGTCACCAATAATACTATTGGTCAATTAATCTTATCTTTCGGTTTCCATGTATGCATCGACCGGCTATAGACCCCTTTCACACGACACCACCATGGTGGCGCGGCCAAAAGAAATTAACCAATAATATTATGAACTAATATATTACATTGGTTAATAATTACTTTAAAAAATACTACAAAAAAATTTTTTGGTACTTATCTACATGAATCGCTAAATGCAGAAAGGACACATGTCCAAGTTTTACATTTTTTCAGGAAACACAAAAAACTTAATATATTTGAAAAAAAATTGAATTACAAATTGTATGTTATAGAATAATATAGTTAAAGACATGGTATACATATTTCTACAATCACTTAAAGAAATATAATCTAACTGTAGGTATCTGAAGGACTTTAAGGTTGTGGACATGTGCCGTTTATGCTTCAAATTACCATTTATATTTCGAAAATAACCGATTTCTTATAAATAAGTAGCTTTAATATGCATAAAAGTTAAATTGACATGATTAAATAATATACAGTAGATTATATACTAATATTGAGTCAAAAATATTTGATATATTTTTAATAATTAGAAATTTAATTATATAAATATCTTATGTTCTATTTTGCCTTGCTTGAGGTTAGTAACAGTCTTAGTTTGTAACGAAAATATATAATTCCAAAATGATTGCAATGCTGGCTCCGGAATATATTTCGCTAGTTGCTTCAAATCTTTCATTTTGCTTTCAAGAATTGGTAAGCTTGAAGTATAAACTAGTGTTTTTGGGAGTTGTATGGACATTGCATTGTTTTTTCTCAATTTGAAATGGTTTGATATTATTCCGTCAATAAATTCACTTGCCTCAATTATTCCACATTTTTCCGATACACATTCAAAATAATGGTACTTAGAAATTAAAAATTTTTCTATTGTACGACGTTGTTTCAATGTTTTATTACGGCTTAAACATTCTAATGCGTTAGTATTTTTATTATAAAATTGTGGAAACCACATTTGATAGTCATAAATCATACTTTTATCAACTAGAAACACTGAAAATTTTTCTGGGTTTCTTGATGATTTTAAAATAAGTTCTATATAGTCTTCTAAAGTGTATAGACGATCCACTCTGTTCAGTTGTTTTTTTATCAATGCAAAGTCACGATCACACGGCAAAAACGAGTGACCTCTTTGTGGAAAAAACACCTGAACTTTTTTGAATTTTTTAATTTCAACTAGAGCCATAATCATTCTGAGTAATGCATGGTTTTTGTTTTGCCCAGCACAATTGTCACAAAACAAATGCAATTCCTCATCATTATCATCAACAAAATTATTAATATAGTGAACCAAAAAAGAGCATACATCATTTGGCGTTTTTCTTGCTGTTGCCTCATGATAAACATAACAAAATAAATTATTCGTATTTAAATTATGAATACCAAAAGTATTGACAGATAATTGACGATAATAATATACTTCCTGCACCGGTATTTTAGGTAAGTCAACTACAGCCATAAAATCAAAGCAAAGACCTAACACTTTTTTATTCTGTTGAGAAATCTCTATTGTTTTTTTAATATTATTATAAAATTTTTTGCTTCTACGTTTATGAACTAGTAATTCCGCAGCAGCAACTCTTTTTGCAACATCATTTAAATCTTTACTCATTATTTTTGTATTTAATTCTTCGCATTTTGAACAAGCATCTTTGACTGGAGCACCAAAGCTTAATGAAAAATTATTCTTAAAATACTCCCAATAATATTGATATTTTATTTTCCCTTCTAATTCTGGATACTTTTCTAAAAACATTGTGTGCATAGTTTTAACATTTAATTTAGGGTTCAAATAATTTTTCAATCGTGTTGTGTAATGAGTATCTTTAGTTGGAAAACTCAGTATATGTTCATGTATTTTTTGACAATACTCATATGGCATAGTATTAGCACTAATATTTTTGACTCTCATATCAACTGGAGTAATATTATTTTCTAACAAATCGACCAGCCGTCTAATTTTTTTATTAGAAATATTATAAACGTTAATGAAAGCTTTCTTACATACTTGAATACGCTGTCCATCTACTATTAAAAAATACTGAACACTTTTGGATTTCGGTTTTTCTTTTCCTTCTTCTGTTTCTATTCGTTTTCGTTTTCTTGTAATTTCTTTTATTTCTATTGTTCGTTGAAGATGAAGGTCTTGTTCATTTTTAGAATGCATTTCATAAAACATTTTCATTGTATTTTCAAGTTTTTCTTGTTGAATGTCTTTGAGACATTTTTTTGAACAACTTTAAATCGAAAATATTATTGTAAAAATATAAAAGCTACTACTTATTAATAACGAATAAAACAAACTAAATATTATATAATTACCATTCTTTAAGTATTAATGAAGGATCATTCTTTGTAGCAACTATTTTTCCAATCCAGTTTGTATGTTTTTTCCCTTCGATTTTTGCTTGCTTAATAATATTTCTTTTATATTTATCACTGTTAGAAACACCTTTTTTTCTTTTGAGAGGACTAATACATTCGTCGTCTGAACTCATATTTTAAAGTTATACACGTTATGATCGTTTGTACACGACTACGACGTTTCAACCAGTACAATATTTATTTTATTCACTGATAATCATTTTATTTTATAATTAGGTAAAGCAACGTTTTCCCATTATAATCTTTATTTACTGATAAACAATTATAAAAAATTAAATTTATAAATAGAACAATATTTCATGTCATACAATAAAGTAATTTCACGAAGTTTAGGCCTGATAATATTACTAAAGTATAATTTTGATGCAAAAAGGTTACATGTCCAGGACATGTGCCTTTTCTGCAATTAACGAAATTTTAAATTATTTTTAACGGGGATCTATTTAATAGGATATGTGCCTTGTCTGCACAAAACCATGTATTTATCAATATTAAATTGGATTATGCAATAAAGTGATTTTTGTAAAATATTGGACATGTGCCCTTTCTGCATTTAGCGATTCACATATACTATAATACTTAAAAAAAAATTAACAATAGACGTCTTGATTATGATTACTAAATTATGTTGTCCATTTTGTTAAACACAGTGCAGATACGTCTGGTCGCGCGAATGGTGGCCGATCAATTGAAAAGAACGCGCGTTTTTCATAAGAAACCAAATAAATGTTTTGGAGGCGCCACTTTATGTGATCTTGCGTCCAGCTATTTTGGTCGCGACTGATGGCGCCACCAATTTGGCCGCGCCACCGCGTGTGAAAACAATAATCTAGTTCTGTTTCTTTTGGCCGCGCCACCATGGTGGCGTCATGTGAAAGAGGTCTAAATCTCGCATGCGATATCAGTCAAATATTTTATCGATTGTGACAAATTTTTATCGCATGCAACATACAATTGGTATTCTTGAATTGAAATCGATAAACTTTTATCACTTGTCAAATGCGATAAAGTTTATCGAAGGAACCACTATGGTAACGACGCAAACCTAGATTTTAACCTCAAATAAACTGGAAAATTATATAAATTATTATTTAATTCCTTTATGACTAGCTTCTGTGTGCCTCGCTCCAGGTAATATTCACTTAATATAAGTAATTATTGATTATTAGTATAAATTATTAATATTAATAATATAAATTAATAATAGTTATTTTACATTATTATTATTTATAATAAATATTATTATAATAATAATAATAATAATAATAATAAATAATAAATCTATCTATCTATTATATTAAAATAATTCCCCGACCGGCGATTGGTCGGAAAAACTTTTAAATCCCGCGGACGTTTTTTCCTTTCCCCGTCGACCGTTTCCCGTAGACTTTTGTCTCCTCTTTCCATTTCGGCGGTCCGTTCGATTTTCCGACCCACCGTTTTCCCGATGCGACCGGATGAAAATCCAAGATGTCCGACCATTAAGCACCAGCCCAATCGGAGCGTTCTGTACCTGTGCCCCTCGCGCCGCCGTGACGTTTCGCCCGCACGTGACGTCACCAATGGACGATCGTGGCACTACCTTATCTCCCCGTTAAACTGTTTAAATGCC